GCCCCATGGGAGCAGCTGCAGCAGCAGCTGCCGTGTCTGGGAGTGCTTTAGGTGTCCTCACCTCTGTGAAGCCCATCGCACCTTGCACTGGTGGCTGGCAGCTGTAGAGGGCACACGGAAAAGGCAGCAGTTGCCCAGTGGCCCCAACAGCCTCTTGTTTCCTCAGCTTGAGCTGTCTCATGCTCAGATACCTGCCTCATTTTTAATGATAATAGAGTTTATTAATAGAATCCTTAGTGGAGGCAGCAATGCTGCTTAGCTTTTAAATTCAGTGGAGGTAGGTGTCGGACACCTGATTCAAAAATCCTGAGTTTTAATGAGTTTAGGAAATGAAACAGATACAAGAATTGTTTGTTGTCACTCATCTGTGTTTTTGCTTTATGTAATAATGACAGAGCATGTGGATGCTCCTGAAATAAACCCCACAATGTTTGGTGTGCCATCTCCTCTGCCACTGTGTCGCTCAAAGACGTTAATTCACTCTCATAGCAAACAGTAACATCCACTACCTTGGCACGGACCTCTTTAGCCATTATCAAATCCAGCTGTGAGGTGGGACTCAGTATTTCCTACCCCAGGCCTTTTGCTTCCTGAGCCAGCATCCCACTCAAGATGTTATGCCTCAGGCCATGCCTCTTGGACCACAAGGCAGTATGTGATGATATGAGAACAAGTCTCCCATTCAGCAGAATAATGCCTGCATCCCCTGTACACCCCTTTGCCCAGCCCTTGTGCCAATAAATTCCTCATAGAATAGACACTGGCTAACAGCTGGATTGCTGTTATTAACTTTCTGCGAGGAATCCACTGGTAGTGTACGAGCCAATCATTACTGATGTTACACTTTCCAAGCTCCAAGCTCTAATCCCACAGCCTTTGTATCTTCTGTGTGGCCCAGCTTTCTAATTCTCTCTCCATGTGCTTGGAACCAGATAGATAACCTTGGGTGATAGCATTTCCCATTTAGAAGAGGACTATTCTCCAGAGCAACTGAAATTGCAACAGAGAGTTCCTCCCTGACTGATGCCATTTTATTGAGTCAGCTTCCCATGGAAGTCCATACTCTGCTGAACTCTTCAATCCTCTGCTGAAGCACAGTGCCCCTTATGGTATTATCCTGGAAGCGTGTGATGTGTAATAGTTTGCAAGCCTGAAGGTTTGGAATTTGGCTCCCCTACAGGCAGTTCCCAATCCACCATCCCCTGTGCTTGTGTATAGGATGGCATCACAGGTATTGGTGGGTAAATGAAGCCAGCTCTTCACTGCCCATCTAATGCTAAGGTCCAAGGAACAGAGGTATGGCACRTACTCCCACATGATGGGCACTGTAGAGCAAATGAGGGATGGCATATACTTTGAAGATGTCATCCTTCTGGAGTGGTTTTAATGGGGCTGCCCTGATGTTCTTCACCTGGATGGCAATCTTGTCCTGAAGTTGTGGCATCCAGAGACCCATCCATGCGTCTACTCGAGGTCTAGATATCTCTCAGAACTGTCTGGCACAGTCATATTCAAATGTCTTCCATCAGCCTCCCATTGGTCACAGTCATTGATGGAATAAGAATCTTTCAATGGCCTGATCAAAAATCCTTGGTACTTGTAAGCTTGCAGCCCAAGCCCAGTAAGATAGACTCTTCCACCAGCCAAATACTCTAAAGACATACCTTCCCATTAATTGCTGAACGATATTAGATCATCTGCAAATGCCAATGACCTGGAAGATATGCAGATGGTTCACTGAACTGAAAGCTTTTGCAAGATCCACAAAGACCACTCCGTGAGTTCTTCGATCTTTCTCAGCCTGCTTAATTAGGCCCAGAAGAAGTTTTACACTTTCTGGTAATGCGAAATTGCTATAAACCCTCTCTAGTGGTTGTTAGTTAGGTATACTCACTGTAGCTGAGCTGTCTCAAAATTATTGAGCCAATGGTAATGGGCCAACAGTTGTTAATGACCTGCACCTTGTTTGGGTCTGCCACTTAGGTATTAATCTGCCTTCTTTGACCTCCACCAGGGATCATCCTGGCCATCATCCACAAGTTGAATTCAGCTAGTTGGCTGCCTTGAGGACTAGGTCGTCAGGGCCAGGAGCAAGAACACTTCGACATCTCTGTCATGATCTMCCCGAGATCTCCCCCAAGAAGATAACTTCCTGAATGCAGTGCAGTCCGCACTCCTGACACTCTGAAAAGCACCAAACCTCTTCCCATTTCCTTTTGAAGGAGTCATATAACTTCAGCTGGTATAGGGCACTTCACTATCTTGATAGTAGCCAGCCTTCTCCTATGTAGTGCAAAGAGCCTCTGATATCACAGGTATTGGCTATGTTTCGTTGTCCTGAATTTCATCCACTTGGTTGGGTGCTTCTGATGATAGTTCATCTTGGCAACAACAAGCTTCCCAGTCAGTTGGAACTGGAGAGTTCTCCAGAGAACTGGAGAGTTGGGAGAACTTGGGAGTGTCCTCAGCACCTGCCAGCTTTAGAGTCATTAATGAATTTTGTCTCTTGGTTAAAATGCATAAACCAGAACTACAGACTTGTCTTTTCCCTCAGAGGCAGTTCTCTTTAGTGTCTCCCCGTTAATTGTCTCCTTGGCTCCTTAATCATATTCTCTTTTGCATATTGTGGCTCAGCTACAGCACGAGCGTATTCTAAAGTGTAAAAATCAAAATGAGCCTAATGATTACAAATATATATATTTACTTTTATTTTTCAAAGCTAAATAAATGAGCTTGGATACAAGGTGTCTGCTTTTCTCTGTTCAGTGGAAGTTCATATAAAAAATGACTAAAAATAATTTAAACATTTAAAACATTAAAGATGGAAAGACGTCACATCACATTTGGTTAGATCTAGATTTAAACTCTAGGTGGAGTCGGCAGCTGAAACTAATCTGTTGACATTAGCTGTTTTCAGTTGCTTGTTTCTTTAACTTGTACCTTGGAGAGAAAAAAAAAAGGAAAAAAGGATGTATTTTGATAATCTGTTGCAGGTGGTTGCGTGCCACATGTCTTAAAAATAATTAATATTGAAGAAGAATTAAAAAAATACATATTTAAGGATTGTGTAAGGAATCTGCCATGGTCTGTGGCAGAGAAGCTCATAAAACAGCAAGCAGAAAGTCAGTTGAAAAATGAGATAACCATACAGAGACTGAGATACAGAAACAGATAGCTGTGAATAACTGAAAAAGGTCAGGAATCTGTGAAGGCTCTGGGCAGGTTCTAACTGTACAAGGAAACTGGAAATGACTGTAGGCAGAAGACTGGGGAACTTAAGAGAGAGAACTGGATAGACTGAAAGAAGCGCAGAGATCTCAGCGCTGCCCAGGGCTGGAAAGGGAACTTGGGGCAGACAGAAGAGGGGACTGTGCCTGACGGGAATGACAGCAGTTTGCGCCCACGGGTAGGTTTTCCCTTGGCATGGAACACACTGTTGTGTCACTTACCACCTTTTACCTGTGCAAATGTCTGTGAAATGCAAAGGCAGATTTCCCAGAGTCTTCTTTCACTGTCGAATATAACTGAAATACCAAGTTTTCTGTTGCTGTAAGGGCTTTTCCCTCAGTTTGCAAAAGTGTAAACTGTTGAGAGACTGGCATTTACATGAAGAGAAGRGATGATCACAGGAGAAAGACCTACCTTTTTTGTTTGTTTGTTTGTTTGCTTTGCTTTSYTTTCCCTGGGGATCTAACTTTGTATGCCTTCGTGCCACCGAGTTTTTAGGTGATTCTAACCTGTGTATTAAACCATCATGCAGGCACCTGGATAAAGTTTYATATAAGCCCGCATATGTCTTTGGTGGAAGTTCATGTTGAAGTCAGCAAGGGTTGTTCCCTGAGCACTGTACGCTAATARTAAGTACTCTGAAATGGCAACACTCATCAGATTGCAGAGTAAATGTACATCATGTGCACACTTCTTTAAGGTAAACATCCAGAAACTGAACTATATTTGGGAGGACAAACTCTTTTTTTTTTTTTGGTAATGCAGCATCATATACTGTTGTCTGTATATCACCAAAAAAACCGTCAAATTTTATTTGCACTGTAACAGCAAGGTCTCCAAGTTGCTTTGGCTAAGTTGATTGCCAGCTTTATCTTACATAAGCATTTTGGAAGCTTTTACTTTCATAGTAATATCAACTTGAATCTTTAGATATAATTTATAATTATATTTATATAGTTATATTTTTCAAATAAAGTTATATTCTTAAAATACATATTATATATTATATATTATATATTATATATTATATATTATATATCATATATTATATATCATATATTATATATTATATATTGATATATATTATATATTGATATATATTACATATTGATATATATTAAATTTAATTATATTTTTATTATTATTTATAATTTCCACTGCTGTTTAGCACTCATCAGTCACATTTATATCCAGAGAAGAAAACTAAGGCTGGCTGCATAGGGTGAGACCCAGGTGCCCCATCTCTGTCAGTCAGTGTTAAGAGTCATGACCTAGTGCAGAAGTAGCGGGCAAACAGAGCCCTGTTTTCAGGTGCTACCTCTTAAGTTCACATTCCTGGTGACTCCTGCATTTCTAAAAAGCAGGCTGTGGTTTTGTACTTAAGCCTGGATGTATTTTCCTTTGCATTTTTATAATCTTTGAACAAAACAAAATACAGCCTTTCAAGCGTGCGGTGCTTGCCACCTTCCCGTCTTGGCTATAAGGCTGTCCTGAGCGATAGCTGTGCCCTCCTAGCAGGTCAATAATTTAAAGCTGGAAACGTTTTCCTGCGCCCGCCAGTGCAGCCTGCCCGGGGAGCCCCGCAGGCGGCGCGGCCATTGCGGAGGGCTGGGTGGGGTGTGTGTGTGGGGGGGTGGTATCGAACTACATTTCCCATGAGGCACCGGTGCGGCCCTCGCAGAGCCGTCGGCGGCCGCGAGCGCGCGGTGCCCGGCGGGAATTGTAGTCCTGCATCCCTGCGGAAGTGCTTCCGCGGCCGCCCGGGCAGCGGGGGCGCGGTGGTTTCCGGCYGTCGGCACTCATGGAGACTCCGGAGCAGCCGGGCGTCTGAGGGGCTCGGCGGCCGCTGCCGCCATGTTCGGCTGCCTGGTGGCCGGCAGGCTGGTGAGCACTGCCCGTGCCGCGGACTGCAGCGCCTCCCGGGACAGCAGCCCGGCCCTGGTGCCTCCCGCCCCGRGGCAGTCACCCTCCTCTCTGCTCAGTCCCCCCAGCTTCTGGAGCTTAAAAGGCGCTTAAAAGARGCTTTCTAAGGCCAGGCTGCGTGTTGGCTGCAAGGATGTGGCACCTGGGGTTAAAAAACGAGGGTCTGCCTATGCTGTGGTGTTTAGCCGTCCTTGTGCGGCCTGTCTGAGAGCCTCTCGTGTTTCCAGTGTGAGCAGGTTTCTGTGATTGCAGGGCTTGTGCCGGCCGGGTGGTCAGCTGACAGGGTTGGCGAGCTCTGCTGCAGCCTGCTGTGCTCCAGTGCAGGTGGGGGGCCAGGGGATCCTGATGCCATAGCCCTGGCCAGGGTGAGGTGCAATCAGAGTAGCTGTGAGGCCTTGGGACTCCTTTTTGCAGCCCTTTGCAGGATGGCTGAATTGACCTTTCATCTGAGTGTTTGCTGCTTAGGTTAGTGCGATCCCAACATCTCTGCTACATTCCGCCTGGGATGTTGTCCTGAAAAGGGAAGCTCGTGGTTATAATGGAARGAAAGAGAACAAAATCTCTACTAACATTTCTTTCATTTCTTTTTTACATTTTATTTTTTAGGTGCAAGCAGCTCCTCAACAAGTCGCTGAAGACAAATTTGTCTTTGACTTGCCGGACTATGAAAACATCAATCACGTTGTGGTGTTCATGCTGGGAACTCTGCCTTTTCCCGAAGGAATGGGAGGATCTGTCTATTTTTGTTATCCGGACCAGAGCGGGATGGCAGTGTGGCAGCTGCTTGGGTTTGTTACTAATGAGAAGCCAAGTGCCATCTTCAAAATTTCTGGTCTCAAATCTGGTAAGATTAGTAAAATGTAGCAGTTGGTGGAATGGGTGTGTTGTCGGATGCCCAAGGGACTGAATGTGGGCGGTATTGAGCAAAGGGCTGCCTGAAAAGCCAGATGGTTGTGTGTTGAGGAGTAGTGAATGGGCTTTGTGGAAGTCTGGCTGTGCATTAATGCTCCTGGGGGAGTTTTCCTTGTTTTCCCTTGTTAGTGGTGATTTGAGACTTCATTGTAACAGCAATAGCATGTAGGCTGCAGTGCTTCTGTATTGAGAAACTGAAGAAGGATGACTGTGCACCTTCCTTAGTGTGGTTTTAGGCACTTGAAATGCCTGTGCTACTTTCTTGTACCTCTTTTTGCTGAGGCATATTATTCACTTTAGCTGCCTTTTGTAATGGGTAAAGTCTGTCACAGTGCTTTTGGATAGCTAGCCTTATCTACTGCAGGTGTGGTGTGCTATTTAAGGGTTCACATCAKGATATTGTCATTGGAAAGCAGTTTTCAAAATGCTTTTTTATTCTTGATRTACACCTGAGTAAAGGTATGGGAGTCAGAAAAGGCTAGCACTACATGAAATGGTGTTTATGGCTTTTTTTTTTATTATTATTTTTGCTGTTTGTTTTSCCCTCCTGTGCATGTTATCAAAATGAAGTTTCTTCAAGGCACACCTTTAATCTAATAAAGAAACAGATATGCCAGGAATGCAGTTTGTAGAACTATAGTGAGAGGTTAATATTCACATCTCATATGTTTAAGTGTCATTAATAACCTTAATTTTAATGTCTATTTACATAACTAYTGTGGATGCTTTGAGGAAATCTGTTAATTCAGTTGGTGGCTTGCTTGCCTTTGAATGAGTCCTGAATAGAAATGTGAAATAAAGGAAGGGCAAAATAACCTGGAAGGGCTTTCAAGGTGCAGGGCAAAATAACTTATGGTCATGTATGTTTCTCAGGATTTTCTTAGAACACAAAGCAGTGACGTGAAAACTTTATTTTTGTGTGTTTTTGTATGTCCCAAAGCTGTGGAGTGAGTGAAACAGAATAGAGTGTAGGAAATACTTTGTGCCTCTGTATCAACAGAATAAAGTGTTTCTTTTCCCTAGCTGGTGAGTGCTTCTCTTTATGTGTGTATTCAGARAGCTTTGTAGCAAAAACGTATTTTCAGATGCTTTTGAAGAATAGCTCCTCCAGACATTTTTTTTAATCTCTCGCTTGGTTGATATGTTGTGTGCTAGAATTTCTGATGGAAACAGAAAAGTTAAAGGGCTAAATTTGAGGGAAATTCTATGACCTAGTTCAATTTATATTCCATATGTCAGTGCTTACCTGTTGTTGTCTACAGATTATCTGGCTTCAAAGTCAGCATAAACTKTATAGCCTTGTCCATAAACAAGTATAAACAAGTCTCTGAGAGAGAGGACTGTGTAGAAAGGTGAGACAGGAGAGAAAGACTTAGAAAGTAGGAATCATCCTGTTGAAATCTGTTTTGCATTTCAATGCCTCAGATTAATTTCTTGATTATSACAAACGCCATTGCCAGGTCCTCAAAGTAGATGGGGTGGCAAGATTTCTCCTGATTTGGAGTGTCCATATTCACTAGTAAGTAGTAGTGCTGTTGCATGGAGAAAATGAATAGGGGAGATGAACTTGAGTTTTATTCTGTAAGAAGTGACAAGTGGAAAGGCACTGCCACAGCTTGTTTAGTTTTTATTTTTCCTTCTATATACCTCACCAGCACTCCTTTAGGAAAGCCACTGCAGAGGAATATTGTAGTGTTATCAAAGTTGCTTTGCTAGATGAGTTCAGGGGAGGATTACTTTTGTGAAATGCACTCTTCTTGTTTGGGGTGAGTAGGGCAACAACATGAAAATCTGGTTTGAGGAGTCTGTGAGGTTCTGCTCTGCCCACTTGTGTAGCCTGTTGAGATCCCTCTGAATGGGAGCAGAGCCCTCATTTGTATCAGCCTAGACCCCAGCAGCTCTGGGCTCAAACTGCTTTCTTAGAGTATGAGATCTGGTAATGCTTCAGCTGATGTGATTACAACGTTCCTTTCCGACTGCTTGGTGTACTATTTTGCTAATGGAATGTAGATGAATTTCATCTGACTGTAGAGATGAGCCTGGAAATGTTCTTTACCTCAAAATTKCAAAGTGCTTTTTCTTCATTGTGACTGCAGGTGTGGCAGTGGAGTGTGGCAGAAATGGAAAACAACCTTTAGAGGTACTCTGCAGTCTTACTAGGAGAATATTGACCAGTGGCACAAAGGGATATAGCCTCTTGCATTCCCAGCTTTCTGTGTCACGCAGGTCCTTGTTTGTGTGTTCTTCTGTTTCCCTCTCTCAAACTTTCCCGCTAAAATGACGCCTGTAATTGAGGGATACAAATAGGTAAGATTTCTGGCAAGGTCACATTGGAGATTGCATGATCAAGATCTCAAGAAAGGAATGGAGACAGATTATATATATATTATATATATATTTAATTATATATATATATTTAATTATATATATATATTTAATTATATGATTATGACACTGGAGAGTATAGTATCTGAATACCAAAATCTCAGTGTGTGTTTTGGTGCATCAACACAGTGTTCCTTGCATTTATAAGGTTTAAAACACTAATTCTAAGAGGTAGCATTCAAAATGTGGAGTATGCAATTGTCATAAGGATGGCAGGGGATTTTTTTYCTCTGATCCTTTTAGGCAGACAGCTGTCCAGAACAATGCCTGTATCTGCACTGCTGAGCAGTGCTTGCAGAGAGCACTGATCTCGGGAGGTCTCATTCTTGCATGCAAAGTGACAGAATAGATGCACTTTTATTAATTAAGGTTTTCTCAAATAGTGACTGTAGATGACTTTGCAGAATCTGTAACTGAAATTAGAACTTGAAAGTGTTAGTTAAAGCTTGGTTAAGGAAGATGGAAAGTGATAGTAGAGACTGAAATGATACTTGTGTAAGAGTTTTGCTCCTTGGGGTGTATTTTATGCCTAATTTGTTTTCTTTGACTTTTGCAAAACTGTAGACTTTTCTGTTTCACAGCTGTAGGGATGTGACCTTTGCTGTGGTTGGTGGCAATTTTGAGCCATTCTAATCACATACAGAGCTGTCTGCTTTTCTGTAGGGATAGGTTAAAGTCAGAGTCATCTTTAAAGAACATCTTTTAATTCATGCTGCACAAAGAGGCTCACCAGCACTTCATTTTGAACGAGTGTTTCAAAAAACTGTGCAGCAGTGCTAAATGTGTTTGAGGCTTTCTGTAGGCATTAAGATAGGAATTCAGAGAATTGGCTTCTGTAAAGAGAGGTATTGCTGTGTCTCGCAGATGACATTTCCTTTTGTACCTGGGATCAATTTCCATATAGGAGGCTTTGAAAGTGTGTGGTGGTTTTTTAATTTAGTTTTTTCCCTTTCTATTCTTTGAAAAATTCATAAGACCTGCTATATTTTAAATTTACTTATTCATAAGTTTATGTATTATGTGTATGTGTATATATGTGTGTGCTTGAGCATGGATTTCAAGTGTTCTTTTCCTCTGGATGGTGGTGATTAGAAGACTTCTCTGGTGAGGGGTGGGGAGTATTTTCTACAGAGGAAACATGATGGAACACATGTAAAGATAGACCTACTTGGATCAAATCTAACACTTATGCTGCTTATCGTGCTTGCAGGGAAAGGAAGCCAACACCCCTTTGGTGCCATGAACCTCCCTCAGACTCCAACAGTAGCCCAGATTGGAATCTCGGTGGAACTGCTGGAGAGTTTGGCCCAACAGACTCCTGTGGCAAGTGCTGCTGTATCATCAGTTGATTCCTTCACTGAGGTAACCTGGGCATTCTGCTTCAAGCTTTTTCTTTTTTCTTTTGTCTTTTTTTTTCCTTAAGCTCATACGAGTAGTTCATAACTAACCTAATTTGGTTTCTAATCATTTGGCTGAGTGCTATGGTGTTTTGAGATGACGTATTTCTCTGAAAGATTGTCTCCTGACGAATACTAAATTAGTGGGATCAAATCTGTAGTATCTCTTTCACTCTACTTTAAAAACATTTGTGCAGCTTCCTCRTAGGAGCAGATTCCTACTATCTGTCACACACATTTAGTATCTAATGATTTGCAGATATTAGAACTTTAGGACATAGACTACAAGGATGGTTAAAAATTACTTGAAAAATTACTTGAATAACAGTCTTGAGCATAGATTCACGTAGAGATTTTATGATACTGCTTATACTTGAGAAATTTTTTTAATGTAGTTCCCCAGAACTACATCCTCTGGGGCAGAGTGCATTTTTTTGGGCTTCCCCCCCCTGCGCAGACTGTGCCTTGAACTCCCACATTAGCCACTTTTACTCAGCAGGTCTGATAATTTGAACCCCCTGGAAATCCTTAGCAATAGTAGTCAACCATCTAATAGCAATAGTTGAGGCTTGATAGAGATGGCAACTCTTGATTTCACTAASAGCGTTTTAGATGAAAACTAAAGCATATGACATGTTGGATCACTGTATGGCTCTTCTGAATAGTTACTTGTGCCTTGAAATGGCGAGAAGGTGTCTTTTTGAAATCCTGTTATATAGGTGTGCTATAAATCTAGGGTTTGATCTTCTGGTCAAAAAAGATCAAATTGATGTTCCCAGAACCCTTGATGGCTCAGACATCATCTCTTGACACTTAAAGATTCCCTTTGACTTCTTTTTTTCCCTGTGCTTGCTTTTCATACAGATGTTTATTGAAGTAGACTGGTAATCAAACAGTAATCCTGATAATGAAGCTGATGTCCTCTGTCAGATTACACACATAGCTTCAAAATTCCTTTGGAGAAAGKACCTATCTTGGTGATGAGTTGACTGACAGCTATTAGTATGCCTTAGGGTTGATCAAGCCTTTTTGATTTACTGAGKCAAATGACGTTTGGATGTTATTTCTGATTTCACCTTTTTTATAATAGCAGTGGTTTGGTGACCATTTAATAATGTGTGACTTGACGTCATTTGTAGGCTGTCTGGTGAATTTTCCTAGCAGTAATGTGTAAAGAAATTCACATCATGATTATACTTCACCTTGCAAATGTTATTTGCAGCTAGGTGGATTTCCCCTGTTGAAACAGGATAAAATTGTGAYTAAAATTTTATGTTTTTAAGAAAGGTAGTTCAGCCAAGAGTTTGATATAAATATTCTTCTAGAGAAAACTTATGAAAAGGTTATTGTAGGAAATGTTTGAAAGCCTACATAGAAAAGGGAAGTGATACAGGTGATACATACAGATGTCCTGACTTGCGCCTGTGTAAATTGTAATAAGGCAGACCACTGCAGGCTTTTCAGCTGGCTTAATAGCTACTGTTTTGCAAGGACCAGGGCTTTGCCACTTTGTGCTGGGGTAGAGATTTRCCAGTGATTTAATTTGGAGGAAAAGATGAGCCACAGTCACTGTGCTCCTGGTTATGTCACAGGATTTTACCAAAATGTGGTCTCTGATGAATTGTGGAAAATGTTCTTTCTGAAGTTCTTCATCCAGTTGGATAAAATTGGATAAGGAAGGCAGAGTTGAAGAATCCAAGATGATTTCTTGACAATAGAAGGATCTGAGGACAAGACAGTGCTAGGATGTTTTGTGTGGTATAATAATGCTAGTTTTAATTCATGTGGGAACTGTATCAGATAAGCTTTTACATTAAAAAAAATAGAAATAAAGCCTCTTAAATTTAAAATGTCTCTTTTTTTTCAGTTCACTCAGAAGATGTTGGATAACTTCTATAATTTTGCTTCCTCATTCGCTGTTACTCAGGCGCAGATGACTCCAAATCCTTCTGAAGCTTTCATTCCTGCAAACGTAGTTCTGAAATGGTAATGGAAATAATCTCAAACATTTTTCCCACTTTGAGGCATCAAGACAGCTAGTTTTGAAGTATTAGGTTACTGTCATGCTCAGTGGTGAAATCTTGCAAAAAATGTTTCTGATTTGCTGCTGTTTTTCTGAAATAGAGATGTTGTGTCCACTACTTTTATATTTATTTGTCAGTGTCTTCATATAATGATTTTGATTTGAGAAGTACAAGGAGTATTGCTCCTTTTAGAAATATAACCCTTATCATGTGTTGATCACAGTATGTTGCTGATTATGCAAATACTTCTTGAGTCATGGGAAGAGGGAACATGCTATGACTGTCAGTTTGTGCCTRTTTGTTATGCTTGATCTCTTCTTAGAAATAGCTCCAGCATAGTTGTGTTGCTTAAGTATGTGACAGAAAGGGAGAAATTGTGTTCCTAGCTGACCTGATTATACCACCAATAAACCTAATGCAAAAATAGGTCTCTCAGAATTGTTTTTCAAGGACTWTTTTCACAAATACCTCATTATGGGTACAGCACATGTGTTCTGGTGAACTGCAGACAGTTTTTAAAATGCCTGAACAGTTCTTATCGGGGGAAAAAATCTTTCCTGCAGTTTATYAGTTTGTCTCTCTTTAGCCATCTCTATGGTATTAACCTAACCCATTGTTTTAGAAAMGTATTTTGGGCTCTCTGAGTTCAGTTTGGCCATTAGTATGGATTAGCACAGAGGTGGGAGCACTTGATATAAGCAGTAAGCTTCCTTTTGTGCAATTTATGCAGAACACTTAATAGAAAGTAGTTTTCAAAAGTTTTCARACTGTTTTTGACAATGGGCAATTTTGTTGTTTTAGTGTTTGTTTTACAAGAATACTGCCTGCCTAGGTACTCTATGAACATAGGTGGTAAGCATTTCATGCTGGGGAATAGATGCATTTTTTCTTGTTCTCTGCACAGTTTATATGCTTTATGTCATTTTAAAGCCATTCTAATTATTACACTTTGTTTTGCCTCTTAGGTATGAGAACTTCCAGAGACGTCTGACACAGAACCCTCTCTTTTGGAAAACATAAGCTTAAATCATGGCATTTGAAGTGCTTTCTAAAGAGTGTTACCTGAAAGATGTAGTGAATATCCCCACTAAATTTTCTTTTTGGGGGAGGAAAAAAAGAAAGGAACGATTAGTCTGAATAGACAACATTATAACTTTTATAATATTTTCAAATTATTTAAAATTAAAATCCATGAAAACTACTTGCTTTTTCTTTTATTGAAGTACTTGGCTTCTGCTGGAAGTCAGTGGTGCATATGCATATTTAGAAATACTCTTCTGCAACTATGTAAAATGGAAGGAATTAAAAGATAAATGTCAGCATGGTTTCATACTTGTGTGAAATTTTCTGATGCTTTTGGGACTCTCTTCCCACTGCATGCCAAATAGCATTGAAATGGCTGTTATGGGCCGACTATGAAATGTGGATTTGTATTTTACAATCCAAGAGTGTTCAGTGAGATGAGAGCTGGATTACTTGCACTGGAAGTATTTGATTATTTCTTGCTATCTGGGGGTATTGCGGTATCATGCAATAAAATAGAGGCCTCTTTTTTTTTGGGTTTTGTTTTTAGTCCAGGACAAAATGAATGCAGTAAAGGCCACTGTGTTTAGTTGGGGAAAATACTCCACTACCAGAAGCTGCAGATAGGTTTCCTTCTCTAGTAACAATTGTAGGACCAACACTCGGCAGTGAATGGGTAGAGCCTCCACCTGGTAATGGTGATTCTTGGTGCACTGTCTTCCATGGGAAGAGGACAGTTGCCCTAAACGACCAGGCTCAGGCTGTCTTTTTTATAACCTCGGTGAAGAGCATGAACAGTGATATCGTGGACCTTCTGTTTCCAGTGCTCGAGAAACTTGTGGTTGGAAGGATCTCAGGAGCTATTTTGCCAGTGGTCTCTCAGTAGTTTCTAGTAGTTTGAACTGGAAGTGCTATGGAGCTCCTCCTGCCTCTCGCACACAGATTCCTCTTCTTTGTAGCTTGCTCTCCCTCAAGGGTGTTGCATGTGCTTCTTTTGGGGTAAAATTGATCTGTAAAGTGATTCTAAGATAGCTCTGTGTCAAGATAAGATGTTTCATAGAATTGTTACAGTTGCAAAAGACCTTCAGGATCACCAAGTCCAACCATAAACCCATCACCACCCTCCCTGCTAAACCATGTCCCTCAGTGCCTCATCTAYCCATTAGCTGAATGCTGCTGGGGATGGTGGCTCCACCACTTCCCTGGGCAGCCTGTTCATGAAAACTTCAAAGGAACTGCAGTGTCTTCTATGCAAATTGGTGATGTCTCTTTTCCAGCTTGCAGTTTGAAACAGCACCTACATCAGGTATATAGTGCACCTCTGAGAAACCAAGCAATCTCTCCCAGGAGAAAAAGCAGTGAAGATTATTTTTCAGGAAAAGGCTAACAGAAAAGGAAATGCCAGAACTGACTTGTGAAGAACTTTGTGTTTTTTCCATCTGTTCTTGGTGCTAGTTGTTCAGGGTTAAAAAGCCATGTTTGTTACAGGGTAAAAATGCTTCTGTGACTGTGTTTTGTCATACTGGTGGATTCTAGGTGAGACTTTCTGGAGCCCGTAGCTACTGCAAGCTGTTCTTTTCTAAGTTGGTTTGTGTACTTGGGAATAATCATTTAGGGAGATCCCTCAATGTGCTGAATAACAAATTCAGCCTTGCGTTGGAACTAGTGGAGGTGTCTCCCAGATACAGTTTTTTTTYCCCTCTCTTTAGGGAAGAAACATTGTCTAGAAATGACTTTAGAAACAGCTCCTAACCTGAGCTGCCTATGTCAAGCTGGGAATTCCAACCCTCTTTAGTTATCAAACTTCTCAGGAAGACTGGCTGTGGGTTCCATGTGTTATAAACATCTATTTGTGCAGATAAAGCTGTCATAGCTAGCAATATTCTGTGAGATAAAATTACTTCTCCAAAAGTGATGCCATGAGATCTCCTSGTCAACGTTTCACAACTGGCTCAAGCAAGAAAATAGAGTAGTAATAACAGGAGTAAAYTAGTTTGCAAAAATGAAGTGCTGAATAAGTTCCTGCATCAAAAAATGGCCTAAAGACTAGCAGTTATGGGGAATTAACTGAATAGTATTGATCATATCTGCATGTCCTTCTTGTTGGAGTCCTGAAGAAGCTTGTTTAAGGGTTTYAATGTTTTATGGTTACAGGAATTCTTTTGGATCTTGATTTGAAAGAAGGGTGAGAAAAGAGGAGAACCCTCAATTAGGTGGTGCTCTTAGGAGAAATGGTGGTGCGTAACACTGTTGTGACCTTGTCACTGGCTTGGGCATCAGGAGTTTGTGTCATGTTGCAGAGACCGCTGAAGTTTCATCAGAAGCAGACTCAAGAAGCTCTGGGCTGAAATCAGCATGTGGTATTTTCGTTGCCTTTCTCCTGATACTTAACCAGTTTTCATTTGAGTTTCTCAGCACTCTTGGGAAAATCCACCAACAGGGTAAGTGCAGTGTATACTCACATGGCAAGTTGTGCATATCTGATGGGAACAACATTCACATGAAGAGTATCATGTGATACACTGGATACACCTCTAGATCCTGTACATCACTTTTTATGTTTTCCTGTGCAGAGGAATTAGTTCATTCTTTAAATTCCCTAATGTTGTAATAATAGGATAAGCAATATACCTTATAGCTATTTATTGCTACTGAATGGCAATGAGATTTTTCTATTTATGCATGTATTCATTAGAATTTGTTACAACTATGCTTGCTTAAAGCAAGATTCAAGCTTTGGAGTTTTTTAATTTYCTTTGACAGGATATAAAATATTGAATTAGCCCTGGACAGTTGCAAAAGGACAGCTCAGGATATAGGGATATAGTTTCTACCTTTGATTACAAAGCCCTTCTCTGAAGTTAGTGCCATAACTGTTCAATTGCAACATTTTCTTTTTTTTGCCTCAGTTCAAGAACCTCATAAAATTCCTCAGTTTGCATGGGAACTTTTTTCTTTTTTTTTTTTTTTTGTTTCCTCTACAAGGAGCCATTATTTTAAATCTTCTACTGTTTCTTCTGGTGTTTACGCATGTTTTCATTCATACTTCAGTCTCCTACCAGATAGGGTAGGTAACCTACCAGTTAGGGCATAGGTTATTTCTTCTACTTATCTATAGGAACTGTGAAGGAAGATTTATTAAAAATTCCAGCACTWGCCCACTGTTATTTATATGGATGTAATAGAATAACTATAAGTGRTGAGCTTCTTGTCTTCATCAGGGAGCCTAGGTTTGAGAACTATTGAGACACCAAGGCAGAACTACCCCAGTCCTAGGCCTCATACTAATTAAGTAGTTGTTGCTTTCTGGACAAGGATGCAGCAGAGTTGATCTTAACATTGTACCTCCTGCCGCAATCCACCCCTTAACCTGCAGTGTTGCCCTAGAGCATGCTTGTGACAATGTGATCTCCATGCTCAGGTGAGTGGCTTAGTAAGTTTAGGCATTTATGTAAAACAAGAGCCCACAGAGCAAACAATATTCCATTTTGTACATCAAATGTATTTGTCAATATTAATTTGTAGTGGTAAAACGCACAAAATTACAATATATGTTGAGGACACCTGAGCAGAAGTAGTCATTTCTAGGCAAAGGAAAGGAATGACTAAGAGGAGAAAATCTCAGCCAAGTCTAATTCAGACTAGTAAGAAACCTCACTCCAGTATTGGGACACATACTGGGATCATGCTTGAACACACAGTTTTTATTGATGTGATTTCCAATTGTCGGCTTATGCTTTCTCGCTGTGCACCTTTGTGCTAAGTCTTGATCCTTTTATCTTTAAGCATCTGAAGTGTGCTCAAGACAAAAGTTACTTTTTCCTCCTTTCACCTTTTCATCTCCAGTGCAAACAAGCTTCGCTCTATCTCCCTTCATCCCTGTCTGTCTTGCAGGTCCTTCACAAGACTCATTCTAGTACATGAGCATTTTCCTTTTATGTGGGAATGAGGAACTGGATATAGCTTAAGCCTTTCCTAAGTTGTTATTTCCAGGTTACCTACTCATCGAGCACATTCTCTTTAGCCTTTCTTTTGCAGTTCACATACCTGGASAAGGTCTTCTCATTGCCTTTCCATCCCTAGATAGTACTAACTCTAGCTGAGCTTTGGCTTTCCTAACCCCATTGCTGCACCCTCAGGCAATGTCTCTGTGTCTCTCAGATAGCCTTCCCTTGTTTCAACTTCCTCTGTTCTCCARAAAGACTGCAAATAAGTAAAATGAGTTCCTTGAACTTATTCTACATGATAGAGGATTATGACTGTATCAGTTCAGACCAAAGTTTCATCTCCACCAGGATCTTATCCATCTGTGATAGTTTTGAAGACTGATGCTTATGCAGAATTAGAGCAGATACACAGTACTAATTCTTACCCAGCCTCCAAAAATTTACATTGTACAGACCTCCTATACTGTGTCATTGTATTTAACAGTCTCACATGGATTATTTCTCTATGAATTTGTACAGGTACCTTCTGAACTCTAGTGAAGCTTTAATAGTCAAAACACCACTTGAGCAGGAGTTACATAGGAAAAAAATCCTTTTAAAAAAGATTTTTGTTTGTTAGTTTTTTTTTGTTTGTTTGTTTTGAACTAGCTGTCTGATGTTTCCCCTATCTTGCATTGGAAGAGACAATGAATTTGTTTTTAATAAATTTTTAGTTTTCCCTCTCCAGGTCATTACTGAGTTCATGAGCCTATGTCATATCTTCCTTCAAATACTTTCTTCCAGCCTGAAGAGTCCTAGCGTATGTAGTCATTTCTCATCCAGAAGTTATTGCATATCTTTGATCATCCCTGTCATGCTCTGTTCCTAAAGGAGTTGTGGCCTTCTATCTCCTTTTCCAGGGCCAGAGATCTTTTTTTTCCCCCTCTTGTATTTGACAGGATCTGAGAAAAAGAATCTTCTGAGATTCATAGTATTTTGGATGGCTACAGTTTCCTGACTTTATACTTACCTAAGCAAGCTACTCATGGTCCATTTTCACAGAGTCTACTGCAGGGAAGCAATCAGCCCTGTAGCCAATTCCGATTGTCAACTCCTGAGAAAAATTGTTCAGTCCTGATCCTGATGAAATGAGAGTAGAACTGTTGAACTGGATCATCAGTCAGACACTAACCAGCTCTGCCACTGCAGGAAGGTGGTGAAGCTCTCAGTCAGCTCTATGAGATCAGATGATAGTGAAGAGTAGACACCTGACATTTCTTTGACTTAACAAGAGTGGAATCAGAAATAGTTGTTATTTCAAATGATT